AATGCTCACCAGGCTGTAATGAAGTGCCTTAGTGCCTTTATTGCAATGGTGTCAAATTAGGTCAGGTACAGAGTCAGGGTTGCATCCTCTTAACAAGCCCTTTTTCCACCTGCAGTGTCAGTGGAGGAAGACCATTTGGGAAGCCCAAACTTCTGGCTTTTCTCAAAAATAAAATTTTAATTTGATCTGCAGGAAGTTTGATTTCAGGGACAAATTGTTTAATCAGTCCTGTTTTACACTGTGGTATAGAAATGGGAAAGAGCATTCACATTAAAGACACAAGATTATTTACATTTATTTATTTATTTATTTATTTATTTTTTGTTGCCTGGAGATTTGCAAAGAAAATAGCATTTATTTCTGAAGATAATAGTGTAAGTGTTCTCTTAACCCATCTTTGATAAGTTCCTGGTGCTTAGGTTTCAAAATTCCTTCTCCTAGGGTGGCTTTGAATAATTCATTTGGATTTTCAAGAAACAAATATAGTGCTATTTTACTAATGTTCTGATTCTTAAAAAGTTAAAATAACTTGATACTAGTTTTCCTATAGTAAATAAGAGAACAAATCATAGGTTTCAATTCTGAAATTTCTTTCTCTATTCACTGTTTTCATTATCCTCCCCTCCCCCTGCCTTTTTTTCCTTTTCCTTGGTGCTAGGGATCAAACCCAGGGCCTCACATATACTAGGCATTCTACCACCCAGCTGCAAAGCAGAGTTTATATTAAAATATCATTTTTTAAGTGAAGTACTTTTCTTAAATAATTCCTAATATTTAAATAGTTTTGTAAAAAATTTCATTTGGTTCATGTCCTAATTTTGAGGCATATTTGTTGATCCAAAATTATTTATAAAATCAGAGTTGCCCAATTAGTATAAAAGTCTCAGTCTTGCAGTTTACTAGCTTTTCATTTTTTCAGTTAAGAATTTTATCCTATATTTGTTGGCATTTCCTGTGATGACCTCCTTTGTATTGTTTAAGGAGCTAGTCACCATTGTTAGGAAAATACAACTCTGATTTTCTTTACCCTGAAGCACTCAGTAGAGTTGTCATTCTGATTACAGCTCAGTCTTCTTTCTGACTTTTCAGTTTGAGGCTCCTTTGCAAAGTCTGTTTTTTTTTGCTACTGTTGTTATTGTTGTTGTTTCCTTAAAATAACTATCTCACATTTTTCCTAACTAGCAGTCAACACAGACTGCTTCTATTTTTCCAGTTTTTGTTGTTCTGAAAGAAATCCGGCCATCTCTTTTTCAGGATGTTTAGGGTCCCTCAGAGTGAATTTCTAGTATTCTATGTAGTCTATTTGCATAAACTAATAATCTCCCATTATTTTAAACATTGCTTTATTTTAATTATAACCTTACCGCATTTAAATTCACATAGTCCTAGAATTTTTATAAATTTGTGTTCAAATGTTTAAGTTAATGGTTGTCACATAAGTATCAGGTCTCAGAGGTGGGAGCTGAATTCAAAACCTGCAGGGTATAAAGGTTTCTGCTTTTTTTATGTAACCAACCGTTGAATGGATTCTCATGGTAGATGAGAATTAATGCCATGGTGTTTCATTTTTTTTAAATATTTATTTAGTTTTTAGTTGTAAGTTGCACACAATACCTCTATTTATATGTGGTGCTGAGGATCAAACCCAGGGCCTCGAACATGCTAGGCGAGTGCTCTACCACTGAGTCACAACCCCAGCCTTCATTTTTTTTTAAGAGAGAGAAAGAGACAATTTTTTAATATTTATTTACTTTTTTAGTTTTCGGTGGACACAACATCTTTATTTTTATGTGGTGCTGAGGATTGAACCCAGCGCCCCACGCATGCCAGGCGAGCGCGCTACTGCTTGAACCACATCCCCAGCCTGATATGTCTTTTTTTTAATACTTAAGTTTGTAAATAATAGTTGTAGGAGAGGTTTTAAATTGTATGCATGCATGCAGGAATGCATATATACCAGTGCTTTTGGCTCAGGAAGTGTTCCCAGCCCTGTTTCTTGCCAGCAGTTTTAGAAATTCACTCTTTTTAGTTTCTCTTAACATCTTCCAGTTTGCAATAAATTTGGAATTTGCCATTGCTTGGACCTGATATTTCCTTGAAACTGTGCTTCATATAGTTTCCTCTGCTTCAAACACTGCAGCTACTCTGAGGTATTCCTTTTATTCTCAGTCTTTATAACTTTTGGATGATTTTTAATATCTAATCAGAAAAAAATTTTATATAAATATTCTTAATTGTTTGATTGGAATTTTGCCTAGTGTAATAATTACATATTATCTTGAATCATAGCACAGTTTCTTATTCCACTTAAATCTTATTTTCCTGCTTCAGACTCATTTATTTGTATTACTTAAGAAAATGTTCTATTTTACTTTTATATTTTTTAAAACCGTGAAAACAAAATTTTGCCCCAATTTAAGTATAGCCTGGGTCAGTAGACATCCTGTGTAGATCATAAAATTGTTTACAATATATTAAGTGTAAAATGCCAGGTTACAAAATGATGTGGTAACTGTTTTTGTAGACTGATTCACATTTACAGAATAAGTTTATTACAGAAAATGAATTTTTTTCCCTTATCAACACTTTGTTGTATCAGAAATGATACAAATCTTTTCAACCTGCCTTGTAGAGATAACTTATCACTGTTAACAATATGGTGTATATTCTTTCATTCTTCTCTCTCTCTCTCTCTCTGTTGTGCATGTATATGTACAATAAACAGAAACATTGATCTGTTCCTTCACTTACTCTCAGGAAGATAACCTGGGTCCCGAAGTGCATACACTTCATGTCACAGAGAGTTGGTGCTTTTTGTTCTTTCTTATCTAGAGCATACTGTTCCTCTGTTCTGTTTTTTATCAATACCTACACATTCATCAGATAAGCCTTTCCTGAGTTCACTAAATCAATTTTTCCTGTTACATACAGGTTGAGCATTTTTAACCTGAAAATCCAAAATCCAGAATGCTCCAAAATCTGAAACTTTTTGAGCTCTGACATGATGCCACAGGTGGAAAATTCCATACCTGACTTCATGTGACAGATCACAATCAAAATGCAGTAAATAAAAATAAAAATATCAATAACAATAAAAATATATAAAATTACCTTCAGGCTGTGGGTATAAGGTAAGGTGTATATGAAACATGAATGAATTTTTTGTTTAGACTTGTGTCCCATCCTGGGATATCTCATTATCTATATGCAAATATTCTAAAATATGAAAGCCAGGATACCCTTTTATTCCCAAGCATTTCAGATACCTATACATATTCCCAGATGTCACATTATTCTTTTTCATAGTATTTGTTACAACTTTACATTTACTTATGTCATTAACTCTCTTATTAGATTTTTTAGCTTTTTGAGAGGAAAGTCCACATTTGTTTTTTGCTTACTATTGTATTCCTGGCATGTAAAATACTGAACACTCTAAATATTTGTTAAATTAGTGAAAACATTAGAAACACAGGCAAAAAATGTAAAGAAGCAGTTTACAAAAGGAGAAATACAGACGCCAGTAAATATACCCAGTATTTTCAGTCTTGTGTGATTGGGAAATAGAAATTAATGTCATCTCTACTGTCTTGAACATTTTTATAGACTTATACTGTCAAGTGTCCATTTAAGAGCATTTTTTTTAAGAGGATAGTATTAAGTGAAAGTGTGTTCCAGCCATACTGCAGAATATTTTTCAGCTATAAAGAGGAAAGTCTTGCATTTTGGTTCATTTAGAGTAATCTCATTAATTTTTTTTGTTGTATAGAAATTACCATGTGTGTTTTGCACACATATTTCCATAGTAAAGGAACCAGAAAGACTTTATTATACCGTTGATAGGGTTTATCATGGTAAGGTTTATCATGATAAACCCTATCAACGGTATTGAACATGGTAGTAGAAAGAGAAACAAAAAGGAGTTCCCTCTCCCCCACCAAAAAAATAATAATAAATATTTAAGAGAGAGCTCAGTGGACTTATGATTGTTATTTTTAAAAACTTTTTAAAATATTTATTATTATTTTTTAGTTGTAGTTGGACACAATATCTTTAATTGATTTTTATGTGATGCTAAGGATCTAACCTAGGGCCTTGCACATGCTAGGCGAGTGCTCTACCACTGAGCCACAACCCCAGCTCTGTTATTTGTTTTTTGTTTTAACTATTGAGACTATATAGTTGGTTTAAAAAAAAAAAATTAGGGATATCAAGAAAAGACCCATTCTTTATATGTGGGAGAAAAAAATCAGAGATACCAAAATCCTGGTCCAATTTAGATCCATAAGTAGTTCTAGGTTTGGAATTTATATAAATAAAGCTTAATGATTCTGGAAGATGTGTACTTGACTCAGTGAAAGGGATTAATAACTTTTGGAAAGTTTGAGGAATCTTGTGGGTACTTTCTTAGAATTGTGTGTTGCATAAAATACAAAGTACAGTTGAAACCAATTATACTGGAATTCGTTTATCAAAATGCTAGAAAAACAATGCTTGTGGTGTAGTTATGTATCTGCTGCTTCAGTAACACACTATGATAACTACTCTGAACTTCAGAATAAGGATGAGCAGAAACAATATTTAGTATTATCCTCATAAACTGGATTTTTAAATGAACTTTCTGAATTCTATTTATGGACACCGGTTAAGAACCTTTGCTTATGGGAATGAAACTGGGAGTGTAGATTTCAGGAAACCAGTACCTATAGAGATGGTAAAAAGTCTCAGTGGAGACAGTATGATCCTGTGTAAGATTTTCTAATTATTATTAAAAATTAACATTTTTATACTAGTACGGGAGTGTGTATGTTATAGGAAATTTAAGAAATCCAAATTAAAAAAAACATTCTGTGGTAGTTATCTTAAAATTTAAATAATCAATATATTTTTTAATCCCTGCTTTCTACTGATTCTCTGATGGATGAACTTTCTTCATTTGATACATTTCTTTTTTTTGTTTTCAGTATTTTTGCTTAACTAGTTTTGCTTTGATATTACAGGTTTTTGATTGGTCAGGGAGCACATGTTGGTGCTGTCAACAGTGAAGGAGATACACCTTTAGATATTGCAGAGGAGGAAGCAATGGAAGAGCTACTTCAAAATGAAGTTAATCGGCAAGGTAATATTAAAAACAACAGGAAAAAAGATTCTTAAAACTGTTCAAAACGAATGGATGCTGTGTTTTTCCTATAAAAGTGTTTGTTGACATTAAGGATGATCATATCATCAGCTTACCAAACAACATTTACATTATGATTCTGTTTAAAAAATGAATATTCGATTCTTAGTTTTCTTTTTAATATTTTTAAAATTGAAAGAAGTATCAAAAGCAGCAAGAAGGCATAAAATTATATGGAAATAGAGGAATTTAAGAACAAATTAGAGCAGACAGAGGGAAAAGAAAGTGTGCAGAATGGGTGTGACACATTGTAAATTTAAATGCCATGGTCAAGAAGGCCTCTGTAGGTCAAGAAGGGGCATTTAAGTTGAGATCTGAGTGAATCCTTTGGACCTTGGCAGAATATTCCGGACAGATGAAGAAACAAGTATAAAATGAGGTGATACTGTTATATTCAAAGAACAGCAAGTACACTAACTAGCATGAATGGAGAAGGCAGAGCAAAGTAAGTAGGAGGCAATATTACATATGGTCTTGTGAGTCATTTGGAGGACTTTGGGGGCAAAGTACTAATGTGATCTCATTTACTTTTTAGAAAGTATCCCTGGCTGTTGTCTTGGGAATAGACTGTAGAAAGGCAAGGTGAAAAGTCAAATAGGAAATATTTGGGATAATTCAGGCAAGATAAGGTAGATTTAGACTTGAGAGGTTGTATATTAAGTGATGAGAAAAGATTGAATTATGGGTATATTTTTGAAGGTTTGTCCAAGAGAATATAGGGTGTGTAAGAAAATACATTTTTAGTCTGAGCAGTTGAATGGGTAAAGTGTCTATTTGAGTTGTGAAGATCGTCAGAAGAGTATGTTTTAGGGAAAGATCTGGAGTTAATCATTTAAGACATGTTAAGTTTGATTGCCTAGTAGGTATTCAAGCAGTTGAATATGTGTGTTTGAATTGAAGTACAAGATTAAGATACAAATTTGGTAGATGTCTCTTTATAGGCGGAGAATGACTACTAGTGGTGCATTTTATCTTGTGAGTGATAAGTATTCTAAAATTATAAGTGATGATTGTACAATTCTGAAGATTTACTAAAAACCATTGACCTGTATAATGTACACACGCGCGCGTGTATTTAATACATATATTATATAGCAACTCCTCTTCTGGGTATATATCTAAAAGAGTTAAAAGCAAGTTCATTTTTTGCAGGAGAGGGGGACTTGGGATCAAACTCAGGGGTACTCGACCACTGAGCCACATCCCCAGCCCTATTTTGTATTTTATTTAGAGACAAGGTCTCACTCGCTTTTTTGCTGAGGCTGGCTTTGAACTTGCAATCCTTCTGCCTCAGCCTCCCGAGCTGCTGGGATTACAGGCGTGAGCCATTGCGCCCAGCAAAAGCAAGTTCTTGAAGAGATATTCGTATACCCGTGCTTATAGTAGTGTGATTTACAATAGCTCAAAGGTAGTAGTGATAGTAAGCCATTGACAGAGAAGTACGTAAACAAAATGTATATATGTGTACAAATTTCATTCAATGAAATACTATTTAGCCTTAAGAAGGCGAGGAAATTCCAACATGTTACAGTGTGAATGTACCTTGACAACATTATACTAAGCCAGTTACAAAAAGGTAAATACTGTATGAATATACCCATATGCAGTACCTAGAATAGTTAAATTTGTAGAAAGTAGAATGATGGTTGCCAGGGGCTGGTAGGAGAAGTCAGTGGAGAGTTGTTTAATGGATGCAGAGTTTCAGCTTTGCAAGATAAAGAGAGTTCCAGAGATTTCTTACACAACTGTGTGAATATACTTAACAATTTTGGACTGTATACTTAAATTGGTTAAAATGACCCATGTGTTCTTTGTGACTGACTGGGAAATGTGTGGCTTCTACTACCTAGCATTGTTAGAAAATGTCTTATCTCATACCCCTAGATCAGGAAATGATCAAAATTCAAAGTAGGATTTCTTCTAATTCACATCCTTTCGTTCCATTATAAAGTTGAAAAATCACAAGTCAAACCATTATTAGTTAGGTTTTGTGTGTATGAGAAACATTGCAAATGAAAAATTGTCAGTAATACGCAGTTTGAATATATAATTTCTCTTAAATTTTAAGATACTCATTGTAAAATGATGAAAACATCTAACTTCTGTATTATGGTTGCCAGAGTGTCCTTTATGTGCACTTACATGATGAAACACTTGTTATATCATTGATGATTTATATTTATCCTTTGTAAGAGCTATGATTTGTAAAATTATGTACATATTGTTAATTTTATCTATGAATTTTATTTTGGATAGAAAAGAGGCTATCAAGATATTTATTTTTAAAAGATAAACAGTACCTACAACATGGTCAAATCTCAAAATAAATATGCTTAGGGAAAGAAGCCAAATAAAATGAGTATATCCTGTATGATTACATGTTATAATTCTTGAAATTGCCAGCTAACCTAGAGTGACAGTGATTTGCCTGGGAATGAGTGGGACAAGGAGGGGAATTAAAAGGGAAATAAAGAAACTTTGGGGGATAAACTTTGTTTTTTAGCTTGATTGTGATGATGGTTTCATAAGTATATGTGTATGTCAAAACTGTCCAAATTGTGAACCTTCATTGGCAACTATATCTCAAAGAAACAAAGTACAAGCCAAAAAAATGGTTAAGATGATCAATTTTATCTTAATAAAATTAGTTTTACACCGGGGATCGAACTCTGGGGCGCTTGACCACTGGGCCACATCCCTAGCCCTATTTTGTATTGTATTTGGTGACAGGGTCTCACTGAGTTGCTTAGTTGCCTCGCTTTTGCTGAGGCTGGCTTTGAACTTGCAATTCTCTTGCCTCAGCCTCCTGAGCCACTGGGATTACATAGGTGTGTGCCACTGCTCCTGGCTATCTTTAAAATTTTTTAAAATCTATGTATACATATAAAATTACTGTGTGTGATTTCCATTGCATTCCAATATATTTAGTATTATCAAAACTGAGCTTTACTAATGTAGATAAGCTTTACTTATGTAAATAAGCTTTACTTATTAGGACTAATAAGACCTAATAAGAGAGAATATGGGATCTGCCTTGAGAGGATTGGCTCCTGCCAAAGTATGGTTTATCAGGAAATAAATGCTAAAGATTAGAAAAGAATAGAAATTAGGCAAATCCCTTTAAAAAGACATTTTAATTCCTTGGATTGGGAAAATTTTAAAATGTCAACTGGTTTGTTGGGGGAAAAAAACTTAGACACTAAAGCTTAGAAAATATTTGAATAGCTAAAGTAGAACTGGGGCATTATAAAAACTGATTGAAGGTATCTAGCCCAGGAAAAACAGTGTACTTTAGACAACTGTTATAAACTGGAGACTAGATAAGCACACAGAAGAGCTTTTAAGAGCCATATTCTAGGAACATTTCCAAGTCAAGGTATTTTCTAGAATGGAAACTGAAAGAAGAGAGAGGTATAAAGTATAACAACCTAGAAAGAATAACTCAGTCTGCCTATCTTGCCCTATCAACATAATAGAAGCCAAAATTAATGCACAGAAAGCCAATAATTTTCTGTCAAACAATAATAATTCAAACAATGGTAAATCTTTTTATGCTGCTGTTTGTCTGATATAGTTAACATTTGTTGTGAATTACAAATGGCATGAAGTTGTTCTAAAAACTTCTTGCCTTTGATTTCCTTGTACATAACTGATTAATTCAGTGTTGATTAATTGTGCTAGCAAATGTTCTAAATGCTAGGTATTAACAAAGGAAAATAATAAGACCATTTTTGTTCTTAAGGATTTCACAGTATAGTGGAACTGGCAGATATTTAGAGAGATTGAAAATACAGTGTGTGCTATGTGGTAAAATACATAGGAACATGTACTAGAACAGAAAAAGCTATGACTAATTGCAATAGTTAGGACAGGTTCAGAGTGATGATATTTGGAGAGAGTTTGCTTGGCAAAGAAGAAAGCTGTTGGACAGAAAAGGTATGTCAGGCGCACTGGATATATAGCATATGTAAAGAATTCATTATAACTGGAATAGAGACAGAAAGTTAGGATGGGATTAATAGAAGGAGAGGCCTAAAAAGATAGGCTGGAACCAGATGGTGAAGGACATTTGTAGATGTTGGGATAGGTGAAGCAAAGATCTTTCATGAGGAAATTAATCTGATTGGATTTAGTTTTCAATGATAAAAGCAGATGGCAATTTGAAGGATGCAATAGAATGTGAGATACATGGTGGTGCATATTCCTTGAAGAAAGCTCTTCAATTTGTCAGTGAAAGATAAGAGCCAAAACCTAGTGCATTTGAGATGGAAAAGAGTAGGACTGTCTTTAGGAACTGTGGAAAATTAGAACAATGTGAAGAAGAAATGAATGTAAAGTTGAAGGAGGAATTAAGACCATCTCACTGATGTTTGCAGTCAAAGATGTAATGATTAGATGAGTTAATGTGGGAGAATGGAATAAGGCAGAAACAGAACTAGGGAGTATGAGTTTGAAGACATAGACATATTTCGTTTTCAGTAGCTAACAGACATCGGGATGACAGCTTTTGGTGCATTATTGGAACATGGAAGATATCAAGATGAGAAATGTAAATCTAGAACAGTAGATGAAGGGAAATTTTGAGAACTAGTAGGTGAGGTGATGCTAGGAATGAAAAGCCAGAGTAAATCCTTCTTATGTGCAGGCATTGATCAAAAAGGCTTTTCATGCATTGTCAAATGTTATCTTCACAACAATTCTATTAGATTTATACTGTTACCTCCATTTTATAGGTGAGAAATTTGAGGCCTAGTAATTTGCCTGAGGTCACACAGGTTAGTTAGAAATCGAGAGTTATATAGTTCTGTCCCAGTGTAACAGATATATTGAGCCCACACTCTGCCCCACTTTAAAACACTGTGTTTTATTAAGAATGTCTCCTAGAAAACACTTCATGATGTTCACTTTATACATAATGAGAATGCATGAATTTATATAGTATAATAGTTATAAAAATATATAAGGGAATAAGGGAATCTCTAATAGATTTTAATAATTATAAAAAGCATAGTAAATACCTCTTCAGATTACCTTGCTAATAGATATATAATATCAGATTTATATTTTTAAGTTCTTTAATCATTCTTTTGACTATTATAGTATGTATAATCAGTAACTAGTTATGATTAAGAATATTGCCTTTGAAACTAGTAAAGACTGAATAGAAGCCAAAAGTATTTTTGATTTATATTTTAATATGATTTTCCTTATTAAGCTAGGGTCAAAATCCATTTTTGATTCTTAACTGAACAAATTCCAGTTTAATTTTATTTCTATTATCTAAGAGATTTGGCTACATTTCAGTGTAATACTCAGTGCTTTTAACTAATACTGACAGTTGTTAGTCTAATCACTTTATTATAGTTTCCCTTCATTATTTTTGTTTTTAAATCCTTGCTGCAGTTATAGTTGGTGAATCAAGGACCAGATAAATGTATAAATGTTTTCTCTATTAAACCATAAAGCAAGACAAGAGAAGAATCATAGAATTTTAAAACTAGTAATAATAATCACACCTGTGCTGGGTTTATAGCTCAGTGGTAGAGTGCTTACCTAGCACTGTGAGGCACTGGGTTCAATCCTCAGCACCACATAAAACTAACTAAATAAAATAAAGTTATTTTTAAAAATAATCAACATATTAGTGTTTACTCCTGATCTAAACACTTTACATAGATTAGTTTTTTAGAACAACTTAATAGGTTAGGTACAGATATTACCCCCATCTTACAAGTGAAGAAACCAAAGCATAGCACAGATTGTGTCTTGCTCAAGATAATATAGCTTGTCAAGAGATTCAAGCACATCATACCAATATCCAAAGAAGTAATGGTTTTAAGTTTTTGATGAAATGAGCAGGTCTGTTTTTCAATCATCTTTTTCTTTTCTTTCTTTTTTTTTTGTTGTTGTTGTTTGTTTTGTTTTTGTTTTTTGTTGTTTTGTTTTGTTTTATGGTACCAGAAATTGAACCCAGGGACACTTACCTACTGAGCCACATCCCTAAACCTTTTTTTTTTTTTTTTTAATTTTGAGATAGAGTCTCACTAAGTTCACAAAGTTCTGAGGCTGGCTTTGAACTTGTGATCCTCCTGCCTGGCCTCCTGAGCTTCAAATTACAAGAATGTGCCATCACACCCAATCGTGTTTTTAAAACATTTTTTGGAAGAACAAAGTGAAGGACTTTTCTAATTTTCTTCAACATGTAGAATATCCCTTTATATATAATTTAACTTTAAACTTGAGTTGTTTTATATATATACTTTTATGATTACACAGAGATACACATATATACATAGTGTCTGTCTGTCTCATGATTTGTGGCCAAAAGAAGTGATTTCTTTGTAATTAGATAAAGATAGCATAAAGTTAGATGAATATAGAAGTAGGTATTTTTTAATTTGAAGTAGAGGAAACGTAAAATAGAAAATGTAAGTCACAGTGTTTAAGATTGTGAAGATAATAGAGATAAAAATAGAGATAAAATAATAAAGAGGTAATGTTTTAAAAGACAGCAAAAGAATAAAGAGTAAGAATCTAAGAAATCATTTGCTAAAAATATTGTTATTAGTGTATTCTAATTAGCTTTACAGTATGGTTAACATTAGACAACATCTTAAGTATACTGATTATCTTCTGATAAGAAATTTTTGATAGGTAAAATAACTATTATAATAGTGGTAACTTTTTTACAAAAGTTAAAATAGGTTGTGGTCATTATTTATGGATAGTTTATATAGTTGACTGTAAGTCTATTGTAAAGACAACTGGAAAGTCTTATTGTAAGTTTCTTTCAGATATGGTAGTGAGAAATTCAGTCTCTAGTTTGAAGAGGCTTTTCCCATAATTGTATAACCTTGGGGTTTTAAAAATATTTTTGAATTGTTGTATACTTTTTAAAAGTTGAGCTTCAGTTAAGTATTGAACAAGTTTAGTTGTCTTGAAAAAGCTTGGTAATGTGCTAACAAGCAAAAGTAAGGCTGTGAGTCAGGTAAAGGATAATAGCTTACCCAGTAGCACAGAGGTTGTGCTTACTAACCTGTGTGGAGATCTGGATTGTTAGAAAATGGAGTGGTGTAAGAAGACGACGACTAGAAATGAAGTTAAAAATGCATTAAGATCACATCATTAAGACCAAGTTTTTCTGCTACATTTGAGCTATGTCTCATAAGTGGTAAGCAGCCATTGTGAAACTTTAACTGTAGAGAAGTATTTTGTTTTTTTCCATCTGGCGGCAGTGAATTGGGAATGAATTGGGAACCACTGAAGCTGAGTAAAGGTTTGTGAGATTAAGGTGTGAGGTGTGAGATGTGAACAGAGATATAGTGACAGGAGCCATCTAGAACAGTCTAGAAGATGGCAAGTCAAAATCTTGTAACTAAATGGAGATTGGGAATAAGATAAAGGGAGGCATTCAAATGACCCTCAGGTTGCTGGGTAAATGGTGGTACCTAGTATAAGAAATATAAGCAGTAAGCAGAGTAGTTAGGAAAATCATATTAAGATTTTAGCTTAACGTTTAAGCTCATAGTATATTATCTTAATATATTATTCTTTTAGTATCTTGTTCTGTTCTCCAGGCTCAGATATCCAACTGACTACTTAATTTCTCTGACTAGATTTCAATTAGACATCTCAACCTTCACATTTATGAAATTTGAAATTTTAGTTTTTCCAGTTGCATGGGCCAAATACCTGATTGATCCTCTACTTCTCTCTTTCTCCTATATACAAATTAATATCTATATCCAACAACAAATTCTTTTGTTATGCCTTGAAGAATTCAGAATCTAACCAATTCACTTGTCTTCACTACTTCACTGCAGTTCAAGTTACCTTCATCATTTGCTTAGATTGTTTCAGTGGCTTCCAAATTGATATCTCAGTTTTATATCTTAACTATCCAGCATAAGTGATCATCCTAAATTAACTCAGATTGTATCACTTTGTTCATGTCCTCACTATTCCATAGATACCCTAGCCACCTTCTGTATACGAGGAACATTCTAAGCAGGCTCCCACCTCAGAGGCTACTGGTACTTTCTTGCCTCTGCCTAAAATGTTCTTCCAAATAATAGTGGTTGACACCCACCTCTCTCTCATTTTAATATCATCTGATCAAAGGCACCATTCAGTTTATATAAAATAATAGCCCCTTCTAATTACTATTTTTTAACCCTTATTTTCATTCATAGGCATATCTTGCCATATAACAAGTACACTTCTATGGTCAAACACCTAATAAAATATTTGCCATGTAGTAGATACTCAGTATGTATTGGAGAAATGGATAGATGGATGGAAAAAATCCTTACCAGATAGTTGAATATATGGATATGGATTATGGGAGAGAGATTAGCTGAGAAGATTAAAAAGTATTTGTGTTACTTATTTTTTATTCATTGTTCACTTAATTAACATTTATTGACCCTTTACTTTGTTTCAGTTCTTCTGCCCAAATAGTGGATTTACAGGATATAAAGATAGTATCCATACTTTTGTAAGCTCATAGTTTTATAAGACAGATTGTAAATACATTGTGGTGTGTTATTTATTAGATATCCAGCAGTTGAAACCATAAAACAACATGAGATCAACAAAAGCATATCACTTAGGAATTTCAGAGTTACCTTTACTAATTAATTTTTTTCCCCAAGATGTGAAAGTTTTTGAGGTAGGAGCTAGTGTGTCCTGTCCGGTTTTATATTCTTCCCACTTTTATTACAGTGCTTATATAAGCTTTTAAGTGAATAAACATCTAAATAACTTAATAAAATTATGAAAATAATCCTAATGGTATGAATAATGTACTATGTTAAAGAAAACAAGTTTAAGGTCTTATATATTCTTAGATGAAGACAAGACCTCCAAATTAAAGCCAAGTTACAGTGTTCAGTAAACATTCATTCCTACTAGGCTAGGGTTTAGAAAACTGGTCAAAACAGGAAATATAAATTTGAGAATTTGGGGCTGGGGCTCAGTGGTAACGCACTTACCTGGCATGTGTGAGGCACTGGGTTCATTTCTCAGCACCACATAAAAATAAATAATTCAAAAATAAATAAATTTGAGAATTAAAAAAAAAAACTTCGTCTTTTTTTTAAACCCAAAGATTATCTTAGGAAATGTTTAAGCTTTTAAAACCTGAAGGAGTAATCAGAAAAAGCAAAATGAAAACCAAAATAATATTGTGGGGCAAGCACTAATCAGTAGAGAAGGCTAGTAAGTTATCTACAGTGTTTCCGTATTCCTTTATTTAAAATATTTTAAGCAGCCCATTTTTCAAAAATATGCTTTCATTTTTAGTTTTCCTTTGAACTTTAAATATTTTGGGTTAGCTTTTTAGCATAGAAACAGCATGTTTTTAATAAGAAAATAATTGTTTTTATTTTATCAGGGGTTGATATAGAGGCAGCTCGAAAGGAAGAAGAACGAATAATGCTTAGAGATGCAAGGCAGTGGTTAAATAGTGGTCATATAAATGATGTACGGCATGCAAAATCTGGAGGTACAGCGCTTCATGTTGCAGCCGCTAAGGGCTATACAGAAGTTTTAAAGTAAGTATTGGTTTTTTACAGAATTTATTGTTTTGCTTTGGTTTGTTTTCTTTATTTCATTATTCCTTTTCTTTAAATGTCAGCAAACATTATCTTGGGGCAGCTTATAAAGAAGTAAATGTCTTTCTTCAGTTAGAAAGAGAAAATTACCTTGAATGTGATTGCTTTTTTTTGTTTTGTTTTGTTTTTTCAGTTTCATTTTTCCCGTAAAATGAATTTACATTTCAAACAACCATTATGTGTTACCTTCTGGACCAATAAATTATTACACATTTTGAGGTTCTAATGTGTAGAACTAACTAATTCCTGAGACTAAGAACAATGCTCTATGCATGTATCATCACATTGAGAGCTTGGTTTCTGCTGAGTATTTATTTACATATAGTTTATCTAACATAAAGTTTTTACTATAGATTCACTAGACTCAGAATGTTAATAGTATAATACTAAATATCAAGCCATGGGCAACTTTGACTACCTTAGGGCTATGTATTAATTGGCCAATTTCCTTGTAACAAAGTTCCTTTATATCTATCTCTCTCCACCCCAACCCCTGTCTCTCCTTCACCCATCTCCCCTGTCTCCCGCCTCTGTCTCTCCCCGCTGCCCTCCCAGTCTCTCCCCAGCCTGCCCTCCCTGTCTCTCCTTCCTGCCCTCTCTGTCTCCCTCCCCCACTGCCCTCCCTGTCTCCACCTTCTCTCCCCCCTGCCCTCCCTGTTCCCCCTATCTCTCCCCCACCCCACCCTCCTTTAGTCTCTCCCCCTCTACCCCCATTCCATCTCTCCCCCTCCACCCCCATCCCATCTCTCCCCCCACCCCCTTCTCTTCCCCCC